GATAGTGATACAATTGATACAAGTGATACAGGTGAGGGCCAATAATCTGCCCTCTGCCTCGGAACCAACCGCCCATCCCCGTGTGCCCAGCCATCTTTTCTACTAATGTAAGTGTTAAAAAACCTCATATTATTGATATTTCTCTTAATTATTAATTGTGTGTGCATACCATCATAAAGTTAAGATAATATTTTTACTACAACATAATTGTGTGTCGTCAAAAAGTGGAGTTTGGGGGTCGGCCCGGTCTCTATTTCAATTAATCCCATATGTTATGTTATTCACTTTACGCATTTCTCACTTTCCACGGTACCCTGTGGGTTACATTAACCGCGTAAAGTGAGGGTTGACTGTACATATTGCTTTGTTACCAAATCTCGTGATTTCATTTTTTGCAAACGATAGTTTAGGCAATGGACGAGTTGATGGTTCTGGGTAAACATATGAAATACACTCCGCCACATTCATAGAGTGATACGGTATATATAATCTGTAATAAAAGTTTAAAGTCCTGCTATAATAATAGAAAAGTTTATTTCTTTAGAAACGGCCGCCATTTGCAATGACATCACCAGTTTCCCAGCAGACGACTCTCTATCAAACTCACCACTGCAGTCAGAGGTAGTACAAAGGTGGACTCTTTAGACAACAAATGCCACTTTCAGGTAAGTTTTAATGGGTTTTTTTTTTATTGTCTAATTTATGGACATTTCATAAGTGAAGAAATGTGCCATGAAGAGCAGCTTCAAACATAGGTTGGATGGATACATGAGTGATAGGGGTTGGGTGTAAATGGGACTGTCCAGTATGGACCAATAGGCCCACTGCAGTTTCCTCCATTTTTATGTTCTTATGGACATAAAAATCACCCATGTTCACACCAGCTCAGCTGTCATGGAGATATGAGTCAATTTAGAAGTAATGACATTGTCTGGACTTAGTTTTGAGAATGCCTGATGTTAGGTAAACATAAGATAGTGCTGTTATTGTTTTGATGATTCACTTATGAACCACTGGGATATATCATCATTTATATAAATTAATGGGTAAAATTTTACTTTATGTTTCATAAGTATTTGGATGCTTATATTCGAGATAGGCTATATTAGGTAAATTTTAAGTTTTGGTCATCCCTGTACTTAGACCTGCAGAGTGCAGGTTTATGTTTTTTTTCTGATGATTTGCGATCTGTTATGGACGATTTAGACCTTCAATTCTATCGGAAATCACAGGTTTTGAGTTACTACCCCCCCCCCCCACTACCCCCTTTGTCTCTCGTGTGAATATGAAGTATCTCTCTCTCGAGTCACAACTGGTCTTATTCACTTGAAGAGGCTAGGTACACCTCACTACAGTGAAAACAACAGACTGGTCCCAGACATTTCTGACCCCCATGGGCCTTACCACAGTTAACACATTCTTGTTACGCTGCATAAAAGAAAGGAAAAAATAAGGAAAAATGCAACAACAACAAAACATTGTCTTATCTATTACATATCAACATAACCTTATACATTACATAAGTCCTTGTCAGCTGGGCTTGCTATTTTCACAATACTCCTGCCACACTCGAGAGTGGTGCCAGTGAGGTGGTCAGGTGAGGTTGGGAGTGGTGGTAGATCCCTAACACCACTCCAAATGCCACTTCAGTAGGAAGTTGGGTTACAGTAGTGAATGAATGAATTACTATTTTTGGTTGATGTTGCCAAGATTTGTTTGGGGAGGAAGAAGAACTGCCTGGAAGTGGACTTGAAGGGATAGCTCACAGTAGAGGGAGACAAATCACTGCTGTGTTGTCCCTAACAGACTGATTTATCAGCATCACAATAATTGTCATTTATCTTAAAGGGCTTCAAGCCTCAGACTTAATATAAATAAGCACAACTCACACTCACCTGGTTGTGCAAGTCTTCACGCTTACGGTTTTGATCCTGTACATAGCTTGTAATTTCCTCAACTCTAGGTAGGTCAGCAAGATCATCTGAAGCCTGGAATATGAAAATGTGCAAATTTAGAGAAGGCACAAATAAGCATCTGAAATATGTATGATGTACAGTCACCTAGGTGTGCATTTCTTGCTTGGTGTGATCTAATACAGAAGTTGTGGTACTACTTTGCTTACATAGTTTGTGGAAGCAGTTTCATCTGGAAGGCTAAGTCTGTCTGGCTCGCAATCCAATAGATCCTAAAAAATTAATGTCATAGTTTAAAATGACTAAAAAATAACTAAGCTAAAACAAGTGTCACATTCAACCTCTTTGGCAGGTAATTCTGTAACCCACTGTACTTCGTGGTTCCACTGCATGCCAACACACTGCTTCATTATGCATGTGCACAGGGCTATCTGAACCACAATTACCCAGATGAGAAGAAAATGCAATAAAAAAAAAACAGTAACTAACCTCATAATTATAAGCTAGAGGCTGGGTAAATATTACTAGGGGTGCAGCACAAGGGAGACAAAGCTCAAATGTTTGTGCACTTGTCCATCTTATTTTGCAAATGTAAAACAAAAGCACAAGCACTTCTAGACTCAATTGTAAATCACAGAAACCACTTACTTGTTCAGTCCCACTGGAACATAGTTGCCTGCCTCCATATTTTTAATTGTTCAGCCTTGCACTTCGTGACATTGAATCTCAGCAGCCATTTCTAAGACCATTCTTGGAGCTCACAGAGATCCTTCTGCAGCTCTTCACAGTCCGCTTGGTTCTTGATTTCCTGAAATAACTTGGCGTCAGGCATGTCAGTTATGAAACAAACAAACAACAGCGGACCCAATACACTGCCCTGTGGTACCCCGCATGTGACAGGTACAGATGATGATTTCGTGCCATTAATCACCACACACTGCTTGCAGTCATGTAGACCTTTTGTTCATCCAGGCACTTACAGAACAGGATCTTCAGGGGCTCGGCAAGCTCGTTGCACAACTCTCTTAGTACTCTGGGATGCACCATGTCAGGGCCGGGACTCTTATGGACCTTTAGATTTGACAGTTTATTTTTTATACCCTCTTCTGTGAACACAATGTAGGTCAGTGCTGTGTCGAACTGTCTGTCCTCAAACACAGGAAGGTTAATCACATCCTCTCTTGTGAACACTGAGGAAAAGAAGCTGTTCAATGCCTTTATCCTGGTCAGAATCTGCATAACTACCTACCATCTTCAAGCCTCAGGTCTGATACTCGTACTCGCAATTTTATTTTCGACTTTGCATAGCGGTAAAACGCTTTTGGGTTTGATATGACCTCGCTTGCAACCAGCCCCTGGAACTCCTTTTCAGCCCTTCTACCCTCTGCCTTTGCTTGGTTTCTGGCTCTTGCATACATCTCCTGTCCTGCTCATCGGTTGACCTAACCCACGTCTTGAATTTCTGGGTTTTCTTAACTTTGTCGACCGCCGCATGGTTCATGTGTAGGGATTCCCTTGTATTCCTAGAGGCACTGGGTTTGGCCTTGGGTATATATTTATCGATCAAATGGGTCACTTTACTAGTTATGATATTCAGCATAGTGTCTGCGTTCTTGTGCCTAAATGGGTCAGGCCAGTTGATACCCTTCATATCTTCCCTCATCCCTTTGTAATTTCCCTTGTAATATTTGCACCTTGGCCTGCCTTTATCTTGAACTAGGTAACAGTTAAATCTGAATGACAACACTACATGGTGACTGGTGCCAACTGGGGCAAGATGTTCCAGTTTGGCCACCATACCCTCTTCGCTTGTTATGATGAGGTCTAGTGGCTTGGGTGTTTGCTCCCCTCTGTAATGTCAGGTCTCTAACATGTTGAAACAGAAAATTATCCCTCAGAGTTTCTACAAAGAGTAGCAGGGTTATTCAAGTCATTTGGGATGAACTCGTTTCTCCAGTTGATGTCGCCATAGTTAAAGTCCCCCATGATAAGGAGGTGGCTAGGGTTGAGCATCACTGCATTGTCTATTAAGGTTCTTAAGTTCCTTTGATTTAATGGGCCACAGTTTGGGGATCTGTAGATACACCCTTTAATTTAGTTTTACACCACTTGGACTCTTCAAAAACATCCTCTCCTGTACCCTTGCCTGGCTGGCTCTAAGGTCTTGCCTAGCATAGATAACCACACCCCTCTTGCAAGTTTCTTGAGAAAGGTTCGTAAATGAGTCATATCCAGCAATACTGAACTCGCATTCCTCTGGGTCGATTCTCCTGTTCTTGTACAACAGTTCTACAACCTCTACAATATCGGGTTGGTGTACCTTCAGTTGTATTTCAAACTCCTCTCTCTTATCAAGGAACGTGTCAGTATTAGTGTACGACATTCAAGCCAGAATTTGTTCTCGGTAACGTCTCTGCTTTTAGTAGTAACTCCGGCCCCCCTCCATTCTCAGAAGCTGCAGCATTTGCCAAGTACGTACACTATATTTTGCAGGGTGTGGTTAGAAATGTCAGTGTTTACATGGCGCTCGCCTCCTCCTGGCTGGTAGGCGGAGCTGGTGCCACCTCCCTGGTGGGGGGGGTAGAGCAGATGGAGGGTGCACTGCTGCCCCCTGGCTCTGTCGGCACACTTGCTTCCACTACCCTCCCTCTGAATATAACCCATGTACACCCGTCCCCGTTCCTCCCTCTTCTGCTTCAAGTCCTGCAGGAGCTTATTGTGCTGTTCCCTCTGCATTACCGTGCCATCTGGGTGAATGAACCATGCCAAATCTTCTCCAGCTACCTTTTCTTGGCACAGAAACTTTTGCCACTCAAGCTATAGGTTGTTTCTTTTTCACGTGGTTGAGATGTTTTAACATTATTTTAAAATTAAGTTGAACTATGGCAAAATTTTATGAAAGATGTTTTGGATGTTCGTACTGTACAGTATGCCAAATACCATTCACAGGGCATCAAAACACTAATTTTACTTTCAAATCTTATTACTGTACATGTTATTACCACAATCAAACAATTATTACTGTAGTGTGAGTGTTATATTAAGTCAGGCTTTTGTGGATTACATAAAAATGCAAATCTTTAATCAGACTTTTATTAACTTGTACTCACGACAGCATGTTTTGTACTTCACTTGCAGTTTCACTGTACATTCCATATTCAACAAAATAAAAAGCAATCCATTACAGTAGATACATTAAGTAGTTTACCAGATATTAAAAGTAAAAATAAAAGATTCTTTTATTTCCTGTTATGATTCAGTGTATCAAGTGCTGCTATCATTTAAATTGCTTCCTTTTTAATGATAGCAGCACTGGATACAATGAACCTCGCCATACCCTTGGCTTTTATATAAACTGCATCCTCTTCAATAACAGCAGCATTGGTGTTAAGGTAACCTAGTACTTTAAGATTTTTTTTTAATTTCGTAAAACTAGTCAAGTGAATCAAATATTAAGCAGTAGTGATGATCAATGAAAACTACAATGGTCATCATTTCTGTAGCTTTAAGTGAACGGGAACGCAAACACCCACTTTACTTCCATCCTCGCGTCGCAGCACGATTTTAACAATATGCTGTATTAACATTAGAATTAATAACGACACACTGATCTTATAAACACAAAAGAAATCAGTTTAAAAGCTATTTAAACTGGGTACTGTAAAAGTGGTAACTCATACATGCTATTTTACTTAAGTTTTTAGGGTTCAGTTCAGAGGTTCAAAATTAGTTTATAGAACATACGCCAAAACATTGTGTAAAATTGGGCTCAAAAATCAGTGGCACACCAAATTTAAACACTTGAATGTAAATATAAAGCACCTGAACTTTCTTACTTAAATAAATTGGCATGACTTAATTTTTTAACCCCTAGACACACTATGAATGTCTACTTTACACAGGTTCCAAAAACAATATTTTGTCAATCTTCAACTCCTTATATGACCACTAAACCATAAAATTAGCCAAATATAGCACAAACAGTTCCGTAACAACTATTCTGTTCCACATGTTTAATAAGCGTTATGGATATGACTGACTGTAATGAGATGTAACTTGAATCCAGTTTGCCGTTATCTTGAACCCATTTCTGAACATGTCGAAAAGGTCCATTTGTTTTATTTATCTTCTTTTTCATAAATAAGTTTGGAATTTATGTGGTGCTTTTTAGGATTTTACAAACTTCCCATCGCATTTTCAAGTACTATCATGAATTCATGACTTCAACCAAAAATACTTCAATCTACTCTTTTGAGTTACCTAATACTGTACTGTACAGCCGAAAGAAAATCTACAAATCCCTAAAATGTTAAAAACCGAATAATAAGAAAAAATAAATAAAACAGGTCTCCTCATACATTAAAGCATGCACTTTAAAAGCACATCAAGGTGCTTTTCCAAATAACTGCTGGGATGTTTAGGAAACACATTTATCCACTAGAGTTCTTGAAAACTGGTGTTACAAACCTGCTCAAAAATATGAGTCCTTTTAATATAACATCTAAATTATCAATTAGTGCAAAGGTACCAGTGTTTTTTATGATGCAAGTGGAAAACCAATGACACAATCATTTTAAGTCCACAGAAAGGAAGTGGTGTCATCTTCGCCTCCAAATCACCAATAGCTGTAGGTATCTCAGTTCATGGGTATTGCATGTACTACAACCTAACCCCAGACCCAAAAGCGTCATTTTCAGCTAATTTCATTGTCATCATGGGTGGACAAGCTGTGGTGATATCTAAGCTGCTCTCAGGGTCTTCAGCACAAGCCTAAGGTGTTAAATTCAGCAGGTTCCCCAGTCGTTATCCTTATCTAACTCCCAATATGTCATGATCATCAGAATATGTTTAGTCATCATCTTTGTCTTCATTTTTATCAGAAAATAATAAGAATAGTCAGATGTCACCTTCATAAGTCACACGATGTGTTATCAACCTCATCATCTTTGTCTTCATAAGATAAAAGAATAGTAGCCAGATTGACACCTTTGTCTTAATTTTCATCAGAAGATAAAGAAGAGTAGCCAGATATGTTGTCATCATCTTAGTCTTCATCATCAGAAGATGAAGAATCGTCATAAGTATTACCATATGAGTCATCATCAGAAGATGAAGAAACGCCATATGTATCACCATTAGAGTCATCTTCATCAGAAGATGAAGAAATCTCATATGTATTACCAAAAGAGTCATCATCATAAGATGAAGAAACGTCATCTGTACCACCACAAGAGTCATCATCAGAAGAAACGCCATATGTATCATTAGAGTCATCATCATCATCAGAAGAAGAAGATGAAGAAACTTCATATGTATTACCATAAGAGTCATCATCATCCGAAGATGAAGAAACGTCATCTGTAGCACCATAAGAGTCATCATCATCATAAGTAGAAGAAACGTCATATGTGCCACCATAAGAGTCATCATCAGAAGATGAAGAAACGGCATATGCTTCACCTTCATAAGAGTCATATGTATTATCAGCATCATCTTTGTCATCATCAGAAGATGAAGAATTGTCATATGTATTACCATAAGAGTCGTCGTCATCATCAGATGAAGATGAATCGTCATATGTATCACCTTCATAAGAATCATCTTTGTCATCATCAGAAGATGAAGAATCGTCATATGAATTACCATAAGAGTCGTCGTCATCGTCAGATGAAGAAGAATCGTCATATGTATCACCTTCATAAGAATCATCATGTGTGTTATCAGCATCATCTTTGTCATCATCAGAAGATGAAGAATCGTCATATGTATCACCATGAGAGTCATCATCATCAGATAAAGAAGAATCGTCACATGTATCAATTTCACAAGAGTCATCATTTGTGTTACCAGCATCATCATCTATGACATCATCAGAAGATAAATAGTCAGAATTGTAGTCTTCATCAGACCTCGGTGTGACATCCTTCCACTGTAATTCATCTTTCCCAGCTATATTTTCTTCAGCAGGTTCAATGGTGCTATCTTTGGTACTTTCAGGAAGATCTTCAGATCTGTAATTGTGAAAAAAATGGTACATACAGTACACACACACATGGAGAACTTGGTTTGGTAATTTAAACATGGTATACATATTAATTTCCTCATTTTCAATTCTTTTCCTACCAAAATTATGTGGCTGGAATCCACAAACACATACATTCTTCCTTCATTTGTTGTCATTCCTTATGCTTACTGATGAATGAAAAGTAATCTTGTTTGTTATTCCCCTTTCACAACAGAGCACTTAAAATCTGTCTGGTTTACCTGTCTGAACTAGCAGCAGCTTCGTCCATATGCAAAAATCAAGCTAAACTATTCATGCTCATCGCTGCTTACTGGTTCTTCAATATATGAAAATCAATTAATCCCCAACCAATATGTAGTTAACAAACAAGATAGCATAATATTTGTTTAGGATCAGTTAGGTAAGGTTAGACAAGATTTTTTTTTAGCTTAGGTTTGATTTGGTTGTCAAGTTTAGCTTTGTTGAATAAAATTGGGCTAGATCAGGTTATATTCAATTATATTACACTGTAATTGGTTTGATTAGGTTAAGTAAGGTTTGGTATGTTCAGGCTAGGTTAGGTTGGGCTAGAATTGGTTAATTCTGGTATGAGTAACTTAGGTAAAGTAAATTTTGGTTTGGTTTAGGTCAGGTTAGGCTTAACTTACATTAGGCTTGCTTAGGTTGGATTTGGTTGTCCAGTGATTCCTTGTTAAGTTATGCTTGGTATACAAAAAAACACCACATAGTCACGTAAGATTCTCACCATACACAAACACCACCAAGTCACACTAGGTTCTCACCATACACAAACACTATAGTGACTAATTCAACAGCGTACAAAAAACAGCATTAAGTAACTACAGGTATTCCTGTGCGCGCACACGCATTCCAACTTGATACCATTGACTACAGTACCGTACTTTTCTTCACATCGCACCTTCCTTGAAATTATTTATCGTCCGAAACACAGTATCTCCTACAAAACCCTTAAAAATAGATAATATTCATCCAGTAAAATTGTCATTCAGGTTTACAATTAGATAGGCATATTATATAAACTATGCAGGTAGGTATATAGTTCAGCAAATAGACAATGTAGGTACAGTATATGGTGCACATAAGCCGAGTGAGTACAAGTTTCTTATGTGAACCTTGATGAAATAAATCCACGTTAAGAAGGGTTGATAAGTCCATTTTTATCCCAATTAACAGTTTTGACCAAATGTTCCTTTGTAAATGGATGTAACTTTTTTTCTTTTTCCTTTAATTTACAATGTATATCAGCGACCAAATTTCCTTCGACACCAGTGTCACCGTTGCCATGCTTGTGTGAATTAGCCATAATTATCTGATGGTAGCTCTCGTCACTAATTTTTCACAACCTCTCCTCTCGTCATTTTTGGACTATCCCTAGATCTGTTTTCCACATTCACTCAGCCATATCTTGACCCAATCACCCTGTTCCATTCTCTCCATATGCCCAAACCATCTCAGCCTACCTCTCTGCAAAATCTCACAAATTCTCTCAATATCTAGCCACCTTCTTACATTAATTACTTAATCCTTTTCACGACAGATCATCTCTATCCGGTCAATTCTCGGTTATGCACTGTTGGTAAGCATTGGGCATACACGTGCACTTGAACGTACTGTACCTGCGTTCACACTCGGTGCCATCACTGCATTCTACTGCAGGTTATTCCAAGGGTAAACAATTCTTGCTCAACTAAGAAGTTAGCTCGGATAATTTACTGTACCTGTGACTTTTTTAACTTTAGGCTGTGACCTCCTGTAGCTCCAGCTTCCGCCAGATGCAGATGTACACACTTGACTGAATGTCTTTTGAGATGCATATAAAATTGTTAAATTCTTCTTGCCCGTGTTAAAATATCAACTAGGCAGTTGAAGTCGTTCTGACCTCTCGTGGTATGAGGTCTTAACTACAAACACCAATTTGGTGGCCCTTTTCTGGGTAGTAGGCAGCTATCAAACAGGGAGGTGCTACCGCCTGGGAAGATATTGGAAGCCTAATGTATTGTCTTATGGTAGACCCTGCTGCCATATGGCATCAGAAAATTTTTGACCAAGTCCAAGATTGCTTATCTGACTTTCTGCCTCATTTACACACAACTGCAGGGTTTCAATTGTTTCTCTTACTTTCACAACATAACATACATATATCGTGTCTCATTTTGTTTTTTTGTATCTTTTATGGTCCTTTATTATTATTATTATTATATTTTTAATATTCTTATTATTATATTTTCGCCCCCAGGCCCTGATGTGGGTCATTGACATGTGCCCTGGTGAAAAAAAAAAAAAAAAAAAGCCTGTACAAATTGATAAAGTTTAGAACTTAAGGATATCAAGAAGCAAGTACAGTATATAAATTGGCCAACTGCCTTACTTCAAAATCTGTAACCTATGAAAATGAACCAGACAAACTTTGATGTCTTAAGAGCAATTACTCATCTGCAATAACAAGTACTACTGTATGATATACAGTACAAAACAACAAAAACAATGTAAACATATGAAAAATACTGTACAACACAAAAAAAAGTTGGTTACTTACCCAGGAATTCCCGGCAGGGAAGACTGGAAACTACCGTACGTCACCGGGATGTTAGGTTTGGTTGAAAAGGTTATATCTCCTGATATACGAGTCATTAGGTTTGGTCCGTGTTGGCTATTCTCACGTTTCACAATTACCAACGTAACCTAACTATTGTAGAACAAGTTACTTAGTAATAACGTGCAACATTAGGAAACTTTTTAATAGAGGAATTCTTCAGTTTCTCAGGAACAGCCCATAAATGTTTTGTTTTTTATTATTACTAAACCTAACGTAACCAGAAAGGAAAAAATAAAAACTTAAGGAACTAAGTCTAACGACTCTCACAAATCAAGATACACGACTTTTCCAATCAAACTTTAACACCCTGGCTATGTAGCCTCCAGTCTGCCCAGCCGGGAATTTCTGTCTACGTAGCCACTTCCAAATAAAAGATAAAAATGTCTGCATATCAGGACTGGGACTGGTGACTTCCAGGGCTAGGAAAGTACTTATATAACACGATTTATTAATGTTTGGTATTATTGCATTTTCACACCACACATTCCTACTACTAATCTATTATCATATTCGAATAAGACGTCTAATTATAAGATAATTTTCATCTATTACATTACAGTTGCAAATGTATAATAACAGAGATAGCGTATCCAAGATTTTCTCTATTTTCTTCCATTAATCTTCCGCCATTATCGCCTACCTCACCTCCCACACTGCGTGTCTTCTTCATAAATCATCACGCGCATGCGTTCCCGTACACGTCACGCAGCCAATCAAAAGCGTTTTTATTTTTTTTTGCAACCAATTAAAATGATTTTTGGTTTAATTCGCGGTATTTTTGGCCCAATCAAAATCGATTTTTATTTTGGGTCTCTCATACTTCCAAATTCATATTCATTTCCGACCATGGAAGTCTGTGATGGGTGTCACTTAAATTATATGAAGCTGATTGCGAGTTTTTGGGGGGAAAAAAAGGGAAGAAACTGTAGCATTTTTTCGATCGGATGTTCTCCCAACCTCAGTAAAGTGTCATAAGTGCAATACTGAATGTAAATATCACAAAAACCAACATATGTGGCATTGTCCTAACTTGTCTCTTATCCCAAAGACAAAGAAGAGACGACAATAAGGTAAGAAATAGGCAATTCCATCATATGGTGAGAGTCAGTTAGGTTAGGTTAGGTTTGTTTTTTGTTTTTCTTGTGTTTTTTGTGTATTTTTTATTCGCTTAGCCATTTTTTTTTCGGAAAACGTCCCCCCCAAAAAAAAACGGTCAATTTACGACGGAAATGATGGTCATATTCGGTCTAAACACACACAAATACACTAGAAAAATATATTTTTTTTACTTTCTAACAGTGTGGTGCGCTTATGCAAATTTACCTTATGTTTAACCGCTATATCCATGCTAGTCGAATTTAGTCGAGTTGACCGGGGTTCAGTTGCTAGGGGGTTGAACCGATATAAAACAGCAAGAATTACCTCAGTAATATGCACGAAACCGGACACCATGGAGGGCTGCCAATAGTTTAATCATAGCTAACCCACGCAGTGTAGTAAAGTGCCATATATCGATGGTGATTATCCTGCACAAATTCAACTAAAATACTGCATGTGAAAATTCTTACAAGGTTCCATTGGCACACCTTCTGACAAATAGTTTCACATTAAGCAACCTAGTATTGGGCACAGATAATCATCAAACAATTTGGTACGTATCTGTACTAAGAAAAATTCTGTCCGCCTTGACTCGATACTGTGCTGTACAGTACAGTATATTGTACAGTACAGTATATGCAAATAGAGGTGAAATATTGATGAAGGAATTCCTATCTACGGACTCACCTTTTAGACAATCTTAAGTTCTCCTGGAGGGTTTCGGCTACCCCCAGTATATCTTTATCCACGGTTTTAACTGATAAATTTTTTAGATCCATGGGGTTAGCCAAACCATCCACCCAAGTGTCCCCCACCAATAAGAAACTCGCAGCCACCAAGAACAGCACCCTGGAAGAAAATAAAATACAGTACAGTATATTAAATTAACAAAAAATCTTTAGCATTATTAACCTTTCTCTTTCAGCAATAAATTTTATCAACCTAAGGAAATTTTATCTTGTATCAGTGATTCTGTATACTGTAGTATAATATTCAAAGACCTCAAGTAGGAGTAAGAACACACAAACGGTTAATCATGGACTGCATTGTTAAAGCCAAGTGATTGCAATAAAATAGTCGAGCATTATTGGTTAAGATTCGTTTTAACATCCCCACGAGTTACTAGTGAGTTAATATTTTGCTATTTGGACTTTAAATATAGGTTAGGTTACCTTTCCAAATTCTTGGAATCATTATTTTGGAGTTAATGTCGAAAGGTGAATTACTGTATTAACGTAAATACTTCATCGATGATTTTTTCTTTTTTCCGTGATTAGCCCAACCGGGCACAGGTCACTGGCCCATATCAGGGCCTGGGGGGCAAAAATAATATTATTATAATAATAATAATAATAATAATAATAATAATAATAATAATAATAATAATAATAATTATAAAATAAATAATTATTATAATAAAAAATAATAATTAAATAATCATAATAATAATAATAATAATAATAATAATTATAATAATAATGATATAGAACCATAAAAAAAATCAAGAGTGAGATAAGATAATATGTATGTTGTGATGTTAAAGTTAGAGAAATAATTGAGCCCTGCAATTGTGTAAATGAGCCAGAAAGTCAGATCTGGGACTTCGTCACAATTTACGTGATGCCATATGGCAGCAGGGTCTACCTGTAAGATTCAGATTCAGATTTGCCCACGAGGGGGCTAGTTTATTGGGCACCCCCTTATATCCTGTGCAAGGTGAAGCGCAGAAGCGTTTACAGCGCCCAACAGGGAAGTATGAAAAGTTCATACTTGCCTTTATGACTCGTACATTAAGGGCGTAAAAGCCTGAAGGGTCATAGGTTCTGTCAAGTTACATAAAGTGAGAGAATGATGAGTGTGTGGGGGGAAAGTTCCCGGTACATTTTATCTGTTTATGGCAAAGAGTGGCAGGTCCCTAATAATGTCAAATGCCAGGCCTGTGACTAGGAGGAGGGATATCTGGTCTGGGAGGGAAGAGGTGTTGGTAACGGCTGGGGACCTATAGGAGGAGGTCATAGGGCAAGTGAGGATGTAGTGAGAGAGGGTGTGAGAGTCGGGTTGGCCACAAAGTTTACAAACAGTGCAGTGAGGCTCAGGGTTGCCAATGTACTCCCATAGGTACCTGTACCCTAGGCGCAGTCTCATGTATATAAGCTGTTGAGATCGAGTCAGGGATTGATATTCTTTGTAGTGGAGGTTGTCGTCACCGGTTACAGCGTCATAGTGGCATAGTGTGACACTACCCCGTTGTTTCAGGTGTGTCCAATTTTCGTTGAATGCCTCTCGTTGTGTGGCGTGTATGCGAGATTTGAGATGATTCAGGGAGAGGGCGAGAGTGGCTTCAGTATCTTCTTGTGTAGCTTCTTTGTCAAGCCGATCCACAGTGTCACAGGCAGTTATTCCTATATGTGACGGGATCCAAAGAAACTTGACACGGAAGTCATCAGTTTGTTCTAGCCCGGCAACGACGGCTAGGGTGTGTTGGGCGGCAGGGGAGGAGGGGGAGGGTAATTTGAGCCTCGCTAGCGCAGAAGTGCTGTCACTGATTATAAGGAGGTTCCGGCGTTCAGTGCGAGCATAGGTCGCCCCCTCATGAATGCCCGCGAGGATGGCTATGCTTTCAGCATCAGTGGAGGAGGTCCAGTCGTGGACCCTGATTTTCCTGCAGGCCTGGCGCTCAGGAATCCACACAGCTGCCCCAGCGCTGCCCAATCGTGGTAACAGACCCATCACAGTAGACGAGGATAGGAGGGTGGGAGGTCTTTAGAGAGGAAGCGACATCATTAATCTGCTCAAGGCAGTTAAGTTTGAGCATATACCTCAGTTGGGTGGATTTACGACCAGGGAAGGTGTGGACGACATCAACACACGGGGAGGTCCACGGCGGTAGAGGCGGATGAGTGTACAGTGGGGTATGCTATAACGAACGGATCCTACTACGAATATTCCTATAACGAACGGTTTTACCTATAAAATTGAGAATGCTATAACGAACGAAACTCCTACAACGAACATTATTTATTTATTTATTTATTTATTTATTTTTTTTTTTTTTACTAATTTATTGTTTTTTTATTACAAGTATTAATGATACTCATTATTTCAGGGATTTAGATGCATATTTATGCACTTTTTTACAATTTTTACAATTTTATATTATATTTTTCAGTGTTAAGTGGTTGTATTTGGGGGCCTGGAACGGATTAATCCTATAACGAATGAATGCTATAACGAACAAGGTTCTAGAACCAATTAGATTCGTTATAGCATACCCCTGTACTCGGGAGGGAGAGAGGTCGAGGGGGTGTAGAGGTGATAACGCAGGATGTCAGCAGCAGTGTGGACGGGCCAGAGTTGAGAGGGAGGGGGGAAAGTAATGGGGACAGGCCGGCGCAGGATGGTGTTAAGATGTGAGTTCAGTGAGCGCAACAGGGGAGTCGGTTGCTCACTGCGAAGAAGTTTAACACCAAGGATGGCATTGAGAGCAGTAATTCGATCGCAGACGGGAGGCAGGATTAGTTCGCGCTGCATGACTTCTATTCTGGTGGTCATAGGGCAGCCGAGGATGAGTCTCATCGCTCTGTTTTGGATTTTCTCTATGCTTTGTTTCTCGCGCTGGGAGGCAACTACAAGGACAGGAGAGGCATAATCTATGACAGCTCTGACGATGGCAATGTACATGAGACGTAGGACCCTGACAGAGGCTCCTTTGAGGCCGTGAGTGAGGGACTGGAGGGGCCTCGTTCGTTGGCGGCACTGGGAGATGACGTGGGCGGCGACAGCGGAGGTCGTGGCTCTGGTAGTGGCTCGCACAGGTAGACCAAGGTACCTGTAGGTGCGTACTTGATCGATGTCTTGTCCTTGCAGAATCAGTGGTGTCTGACGCCGGAAGCGTGAGATGAACTTGGTTTTAGTGTGTGAGATGACTAGCCCGAGTGTTGACCGGTCCGGGCGAACGTGGAGAGTATAGGTTGTTCATGTTGCACTGTAGTGATTTGGAGGAGGATATCATCAGCGTAGCTTATGATGTGACCGTCTAGGGCTCGCTCAGCAAAGATGACGTTGAGACGGCAGATGGAGTTCATGAGAACATTGAAGAGTGTAGGGCTGAGTACACCTCCCTGAGGCGTGCCAAGATCAAGGTCCCTGATCTTAGAGTAGTGGCCCTGAAAACGGACACGGGCCTGTCGATGGGAGAGGTAGTCAGCAATCCACGTGAGGAGTTTGCCCTTCACATCCATGTGAGTGAGGCCCTCAAGGATCACTTCACTGTTGGCTTTATCAAAAGCACCCTTGAAGTCGACGAAGAGGGAGGTTTTGGCGGAGGTGTTTGCCATGTAGTGAGCGATGCAGTGAGCAGTACTCTTTCCGGGGCGAAAACCATAGAGGTCAGGGTGCAGGTGGGCTTCAATTTTCCAGTAGAGGCGGTGGAGTATCATGTGCTCCATCATCTTTGAGAAGCAGGAGATGAGGGATATTGGACGATATTCATCTTGTCTGCCTGGTTTAGGGACTGGGATGGTGGTGGCATTCTTCCATGAGTGAGGCAGCTGACCAGTATCAAAAGAGAGGTTAAATAGACAGAGGAGGGGGTTACCAGGGGTGGCAATAAGGGCATTTAACACATCATATGTGACGCCGTCATCGCCTGGGGCGGTGGGTCTACCTGTAAGGGCGGTAACAAGCAGGATGGTTGTCCGCCGCTCGTTTGCTTGTTTGCGTCCCCCACTAGGGGGGAGGGGGGTTAGACGGAGGTGAGAAGGTTGCTGCTGCTTCGTCACACAACAGATACTACCCAGCTGTCAACACAGCTGTACTTGCACCCCGCTGTTCGTTCAAATTCTGGTTGTGTGCTCATCTGAAGCAACTGGGGCTCGTGGGCTGATTCCCCAGACCTTCTCTATTCGGCTGTCAAACTCCAGACACCTACCCCAGCTGCCACGTCATCGCCACTTCCTCCACGCTCTATCCACCATCTGTGCCCTGGCGTCTCTCCTGTGTTGCAAGACATCGCCCACCAACGCCGGCGCCAAGTGAAGAAGCTGCCCTGGACCTTCCCCAAGAGCGGATCACCGCTTTACTGAACATTCCACCGGGCCGCCGCCCTTGGAAATATCTATACATTGTTTGATTCTCGTAATTGTTTGACTCCCGTAATTGCTTGACTTCCTATTTGTTTGACTCAATTAATTGTTTGACTCCCTTAATTGTTTGACTCTATTAATTGTTTGACTCCCGTAATTGTTTTTTTAATATTTGTGAGTGCCATTTTTCTTCGTAGTAAAGAGATGTCAATCTCTAAGAGTTGTTTGTTACGGAAACCCATGGTTCTTGACTTTCCTTTTACAAGATCCTGATTAGGCTAGCAAGGGATTTATATCCCAAAGTCCCAGGCCTTTACAAGTGGCGACCTTGCCAGGATTGTCTCTAACCTTGGTTTCTGAGGATTAACATTTGTTACCGGTGTTTGTTGTAAGTCGCCTTATGCGTGCCACTTGCTGTCTGAGGTCCGGAAGTAAGTGTTGTTTGGTGCTCATCCCTTCCTTCTGTTGTGCTAATTTTGTTGCTCTCCCTTGGACTAGGGAAGTTAATTAGTGTTGGTTGGGGTGCACTGTGGATGCTGCCATAGCATTTTGTTGTTGATTCACCTGGTGCGGTTCTTTTCCCCGAGGTGATTTAACTGGGCTGGGTGCGAAACAAGGTTTCCTCCAGCCGGATCGAATCATTTAATTATTGGATTGAGCCACGAAGTAGTTACTTTTGGCTAGTTGCGGGGTAAGTTGTTTAATTTGTCACGTTGACTTTTGGCCTTTTGTATCATTACTGTATGTCTAGTTTTGAGGAGTTGAAAGGTCAAGCGGTGGCCCTGGGTCTGACAGGTGCGGAGGTTGGTCGGTATGTGGTCACCCAACAGACTGCAGAGAGGTGCGCAACACAGAGAGAGGGGGAGGGAGAGAGAGAGGAACGCAACAGAGAGGGAGAGAGCGAGGAACGCAACCGAGAGAGAGTTCGAATTAGTTAAGTTGCAGGCAGAAAAAGACAGAACTAGCTAGGATTAATGCTCCAAATAGAGCAGAATCCTCTGGCCCTATACAAGATAATGTAGTAAAACCTAGTTTGCCTTTTTATAGTGAAGGAGAAGGCATCACCACCTATCTTGTTAGGTTTGAACGGGTATCTGAGCTGCTTGGTGTAGACCAAGATAGCTATGCTGTAAGATTGGGAAGCCTACTGATTGGTAAACCGGTACAGATTTATACGTCCCTGTCTGCCGACATCACTAGAGATTACTTTGTTGAAGCAGGCTCTCTTGCGAGGGTTTAACAAAACTTCTGATGGTTATCGTGTTGATTTCCGCAGAACAAAGATTTGAGCAGGGGAAACATACCAGCAATTTTCAATCCACCTGGGTCGTTTGTTCCAACAATGGCTAGAGGCGTCAAAGGTTGAGGAAACCTTTGTCTTACTATCTTTATGATATTAGATCAGTTTTTGTCTTCTCTACCGCCAGACTTGAGAATTTTCATCAAGAAACACAGACCAGCGAAGCTAGAAGCTGTAGAACTTGCTGACAACTAGGCGTCCGCTCGCAACGCCTACCCCAAGTCTCCCACTCCTCCCGTGAAGAACACGAAGCCTCCGTCCTCCGAGGAACCATTCACGGGAGTAGAGTAGTAGTAGTAGTAGTTCACCAGCCATGCGGTGCCACAACTGCGGAGAAGAAAGGCACATTCGTTCTCGCTGTCCCAGGAATCCCTGCGCCTTCAAATCTACCGACATTCAGCAGCCCAGCTACAAGGTCGGATTCTGTTTGGAAGACAGGAGCTGCCCCCGTTATTGTGTCAGCGGAACAATATATGGGTCTTGGGCATCTTCTATCATCAGGGACACCGGCTGCTCGTGCATTATTGTCTCTGAGGAAGCCCTGCCTGACGCTGACGTCTCCAGCTGCTCGAAGGTCAGTGTCGCCGATTATGTAGGTCGTGTTGACCAGTTCCCTGTTGTTAGGTGCTACCTGCGTTGCCCCTATTTCAATGGTTGGTCTAATGTGGTAAGAGCGCCCATTAAATTCGCTAGTGTTCTCATTGGTAATGTTCCCGGAGTTCGTGACCCTAACGACCCGGAAACTTTAACTCTCCTCGCCACCAGCGCAAGTCTCCTTGCCACCTGCCGAAGTCGCCTCACCACCCTCACCGCCACCTCACCTCCAGCAAAGGTCCAAGCTATGGAAACACGGTCGGCGAAGGTGAAACGACTGCATCCCCTGGTTCTGCCGAAATTATTGCCACTGACTGTGACGCCCAAGAAGTTCGCCAAGATTCAAGCCTCGTGTACCACTTTGACACGGGTAAGGGAGAAGGTGACTTCCCGGGAAGGAGGATCAGGCTAGAGATGGGTCTGTTTACAAGTTTGTTTGTATTAATGGTCTGTTACATAGGTCTTGTGTGTCGTCCAAGCAACCAGCCAAAGTAAGTCGGTTTTTACTTGTTGTCCCTGCTGATTGTCGTAGTAACATTCTCTCTCTGGCTCACGAGAGCCCTCTAGCAGGACACTGTTCTCGTAGGAAGACTTATATGAAGGTTGCTGATCAGTTTTACTGGCCAGGTATGGGAGCGGATATTAGAGCCTTTTTTGTAGTTGTGATCAGTGCCCACGTATGTCCACCAAGGGTAGAGTCCGTCCTGTTCCTCTTAAACCCTTACCCATCATTAGCGCCATTTTCTCGGGTAGCCATAGATTTTGTTGGACCGTTCTCACCCCTTTCCCCAAGAAGCCTAAATTACATCAAGCTAATTTGTTAAGGAAATATAATTGCAGGGCGCACATTAACTTTGCTCGTGTCCTTAACGACGTTCCCAAGCTGGAGTCAGTCGAGGCACTACCCTGCAAGAGTTCCTGTGAAGTTCAGGCGCCAGACACGGATGATCTCGGTTGCCAGTTACCGATAACATCGGACGGGATAGAAGAATCCTCTCCGACTGGCAATGGGCCCAAACTTAAACCTGGACTGAAGTGGATCACACGTGCAGTTCCTTGATACAGCCTTACGATATTTGGATATCAAGTTACCACTTACTCTTTTAATGTGACCATTCTCTTTTCTTTATTTTGCTCTGTGCATATCAGCAGACATGAACGTGCATGAGCAGACATGAATGTACACATCAGCCGACATGAATGTGCATACCAGCAGACATGAACGTGCATGAGCAGACATGAATGTACACATCAGCCGACATGAATGTGCATATCAGCAGACATGAACGTGCATGAGCAGACATGAATGTACACATCAGCCGACATCATATCAGCAGACATGAACGTGCATGAGCAGACATGAATGTACACATCAGCCGACATGAATGTGCATTCCAGCAGACATGAACGTGCATGAGCAGACATGAATGTACACATCAGCCGACATGAATGTGCATATCAGCAGACATGAACGTGCATGAGCAGACATGAATGTACACATCAGCCGACATAAATGTGCATATCAGCAGACATGAACGTGCATGAGCAGACATGAATGTACACATCAGCCGACATAAATGTGCATATCAGCAGACATGAACGTGCATGAGCAGACATGAATGTACACATCAGCCGACATGAATGTGCATATCAGCAGACATGAACGTGCATGAGCAGACATGAATGTACACATCAGCCGACATGAATGTGCATATCAGCAGACATGAACGTGCATGAGCAGACATGAATGTACACATCAGCCGACATAAATGTGCATATCAGCAGACATGAACGTACATGAGCAGACATGAATGTGCATAGCAGCCGACATGGATGTGCATATCAGCAGACATGAGTGTGCATATGATATGAACCGACATGAACGTGCATATCAGCAGACATGAATGTGCATGAGCCGACATGAATGTGCATGAGCCGACATGAACGTGCATATCAGCAGACATGAATGTGCATGAACCGACATGAACGTGCATATCAGCCGACATCGATGTGCATATCAGCAGACATGAACGTGCATGAGCAGACATGAATGTACACATCAGCCGACATGAATGTGCATACCAGCAGACATGAACGTGCATGAGCAGACATGAATGTACACATCAGCCGACATGAATGTGCATAGCAGCAGACATGAACGTGCATGAGCAGACATGAATGTACACATCAGCCGACATGAATGTGCATATCAGCAGACATGAACGTGCATGAGCAGACATGAATGTACACATCAGCCGACATGAATGTGCATACCAGCAGACATGAACGTGCATGAGCAGACATGAATGTACACATCAGCCGACATGAATGTGCATATCAGCAGACATGAACGTGCATGAGCAGACATGAATGTACACATCAGCCGACATAAATGTGCATATCAGCAGACATGAACGTGCATGAGCAGACATGAATGTACACATCAGCCGACATAAATGTGCATAGCAGCAGACATGAACGTGCATGAGCAGACATGAATGTACACATCAGCCGACATGAATGTACACATCAGCCGACATGAATGTGCATATCAGCAGACATGAACGTGCATGAGCAGACATAAATGTGCATAGCAGCAGACACGCTGGAAGTGCCGTGAAATATTTATTGCCGCATTTCCTTAATATATACATACACATTCCCTACCCAAACCTATGGAAGATTCCAAGAACATTGTTAATAATGTAATTATTGTCGTACAGAAAAATTGTTCCATGGTAGGTTGAGTCCATTTATCAATAAAACTAAAAAAAACACTTCATTGTCAAGTGAAGGAATTTGCCTTGACCGTTAAAAACCGTGCGACAAGGACATCTTCTTCAACGCTTATTAAGACATATCCTGCGAAATAAATGATCTATTGGTCAACGTACACATTTTAGATGACCAAAATGTGTAAACTGCCACTTACTTCATGTTGATGAGTTGCAAATCTCAGGATAAATGAAGAAAAGATAGAAGGCTTCAAGACGCCGGGTCCACAAGCTCTCGCCTTGCCTGAAATGTGCGCCAACCGCTAGACCAGTCATATGAAAGTCTTCGTCTACGTTAAAAATAAATAAATTTATCTCTGAACATAATTAAATATTTGGCCGATTTTTTTTAATATTCGAATTCTATAAGTTATTTTTTTTAATCTACATGAAACTAATAAGCACAAATACTTATTTGACATGACTCCTTCATGTTGGCCGTCAACATCATCCACTGATATGTGCGCCAGAGTCAAATAGAAAGCCTTATTACATACAAATTTAACTAATTCATCTCAGGGTATATTTTAACTTTTTGCTGTGATATTCCTTATAATATTTTATTACTGCAGAGTTTTTATTTTTAATTCAAAGAATTTTAATAAACAAATACTTATTTAACGTCATTCCTCCACAAGCCCAGAAAATCTATGGATAAAATATGCTGGTTAGGTATAAGTTTATAACATATTTCTACCTTAAAAATTGCTATGACTCGATCGGAAGTCTGCATTCAGGTTACTAGCTTGTTCCCTAGTCCCTACATTGTTAATGGAGTTTTACACTCTAGGGGTAACTTGGCCGCACTGAGCGGCGGGATTTAAATGTCATCCCTGATGTTCTGAAGTTTCTAACTTCTAAGATGATTATGTAGTTCAACCGTTGCCAAAGTTAACCCCTTGTGTACGGGGTACTTCTGAACTGAATAAAATCGCCTGGCGTTAGCCGTTAACCAAATAGGATATCAAGAGTAGCGTCCCCCTAGTGAAGGGGTTAGGGAGATACTGCAGTCTACTTTTCATTTTGACTCCATGAAGAAGGGCCGGATTTACCAATAGGCCAAGTAGGCCATTGGCCTAGGGCCCACCTGTACCTGGGGGCCCACTGAAACTAATTTGTCGAGCAGCGTGCCAGCGTATAACTTTGTTTCAAGTGTACACCGAGTATTTCATTATATGATATATTCACAACCATAAGGGCCCCTGTACAATAAGTGTAGGGCCGCAGTGGTCTTCAACTGGTGGGCCATGGGGTGGTTCTCAGGTGGGCCACGGACGAGGCCCTATAGTAAAATGAAGAAAATAAGATAATAAAAAAAAAATATATATATACATTCTTTAAATGTCCGTGTCCTACCATCAATCTATCTATCTATCTGTTTATCTATCTATCTATCTATCTATACATACATATATACGAGAGAGAGAGAGAGAGAGAGAAGAGAAAAGAGAGAGAGAGAAAATAAAGTTCAAGAAACCTTCAGCGCCTTGACGTATGAAGGACAGGATCGTTTCACGTTCAGTACGTTATAATATTACGATATGTAATATTTGATGACATATGGCCATTGCACAAAATAATTACAGGAATATATATATATATATATATATATATATATATATATATATATATATATATATATATATATATATATATATATATATATATACATATATATATATACATGAATTGATTATTGAAACATGCAAACATTTCTATAAATTTGGGGGCCCACTGATGAGTTTGGCCTGGGGCCCACAAGTAGGTAAATCCGGCCCTGTTGACCATGAATACGCTTAAAAGGGATTTATGACAAAATGCCTGTTCTTTCCTGATTTGTTTCCACCATTTCTATTTAATTAGCTTATTTTTCAGTGACTAATTCTGCAATGTTGATGTTTGTTCAACTGATTCTTCACAAAGTCCTATAATGTAGATTTTTGTATAAGCGTCTTCTATGGCTTTCCAAATCTCCATGAAAGGCTGAAAATTAAACTGGAAGCGTACGGGATTCGAGTAAGTGTCCTTACGTGGATCGGATACTTTCTCAATGATCGCAAGCAGTGTGTGGTGATTTTGGGCACGAAATCATCTTGTGTACACCGTGACAAGCGGGGTACCACAGGCCAGTGTATTGGGCCCACTGTTGTTTGTTTGCTTCATAAATGGCATGTCAGAAGCTGTACATTCCTCCATACAATTGTTTTCGGATGATGCCAAGTTATCTATGGAAATTAATAACCAAGCAGACCGCGAAGAGCTGCAGAAGGATCTCTGTGAGCTTCAAGAATGGTCGAAGAAATGGCTGCTAAATTCAATGTCACGAATTCTAAGATGCACCTGGGACGTACCATCGGTAAGGAGGCGTACCATATGTCCCAACGGGACGAAGAAACTGCATTAATTGAGACAATGTGAAAAGGACAATGAAATGATGTTCTCGGGCCATTGTGAGAAGAAGGTGAACCAAGCAACTAAATTATTAGGTCTTATAAGAAGGTCGTTCAGATATCTAGATAGTTTTCCTTATAACGATCTTCAAGAGCAAGGTGCTAACCCCGCCTGGTCCCCAAGATATGCTAGGGACTGTAGGTTGATTGAAAATGTCCAAAGGTCGAAGAAGCCGTCCAGAAAACTGTGAGGGCGAACTTTTTCGGAGTGAGCGTTGTGAACTCGTGGAACAGCCTGCCAGAGTGTTGTGTCGGCACCGAGTGCGAGCTGTTTCAAGACCACACTTGACAAGCACTGGAGCAGGTTCAGATACATTCAGGAGCCAGTGCATGTCTGGTTCTTGCCAATAGGGATGTGACCGATCGCCCAGGCGACTAACGAGCCGATCAGTGGTGAAGAAGATAAAAGTAAAATTAAGTTTTCTGAATATATGGAGCGACATGCTGATGTAGAAGAAAACATTCGCTCAGATGCAGAATGTGCACTGAATGCCCATAGAAAGTACTGTATCAGTTATTTCCTCATGTGGCAAAAGTTTTCAAAGTATCCGTTATTTCCTCAAGTGGCAAAAGTTTTCAGGCTAGTCTTGATAGCACCACCTTCAGTATGTAAAGTGAAAGGTCTTTTAGCAGGCCTAAGCTTTTGAAAACATCCCTGCTAAACAGAACCTCAGCAAAAACGGTTGCATAATTTTATGCTCATAGCTTGTGAAAATGACATAATTGATCAGTTAGATCTTCAATAGATTGCAGATACTGTAATTGGAAGCTTAAGAAAACTAGGAGAATTACAATTTAAGTTTAATTTCTAAGAATAGGTTAATGCTGCTGATTTTATCCAAGCAGTAAATAAAAAAAATATATATTTATTTTAATTATTTCTTTCTATTTGAGTAAAGATTTTGCTTTATCCATCAAATTTCTATGATAATGTTTAATAATTAATATTCAATAAAGAAAATTTTTTAGTTCGCGTGGTAATTTTTCCTCTAATCCCCCCCCCTTCCCCACCTCTTAATATTCCTGGATCCCTCGTGGAGGGAAGTGGTAATCAACCTCAAAATCTATTTTATTTTATTTGAAATAACAGTAATGGGCTATTTCCGATGATGGTGAAATGCTACCAGACCTTCACTCCCTCCATAGAAGATAATTATATCCATCCCTGGATAAATGGACCCCCCCACCCTTTGCATACAGGTCCCAATCTGCTGTATCTGTAAAAGTTGTCCACGAAACTGATATTGACTTGAAATATCTGTCAAGACGGCCGTTGACGCCATATGCTTTGATGATCATTCATTGCTAACTCTCCTTCTCGGCAGGAAACCACAAGTGGTAGGAATACTTCCTTACATTGTTATACAAGTATGAAGGAGGAAGTAGGTTTCATTATTTTGTCATATCTTCACTTGTTTCCCGCATTATTTTCCTAGTCATTGAATTAGAAAATATGTATTTTTTATGAGAAGCAGAACACAAAAGAAATAGTATAATCTGAATAGAAATGGACATATTTAGGTATTATTTTGAGTCATGAGTCTCCAAGGTCGCTAATTTCTTCTTTGAACTGAACGCCATACGTTCATTTTGTTCGGTATATTAGAGTCTTTACTTGTTTAAGTTTAGAAATATTTAGCCATTAAGAATTAATACTTTATGCCTTAATAAATATTATCTTAATTTGAATTCTTATAGTATGTATTTTATCTTTGTGAAATATACAAGTGTAGATTATTACTTCAGTAGAGTACGACAATACAAATATTGGAACTTGTTTTCATCAAGGATGTGAAAATGGCAGAAGGTGGGACTCAGAGTGTGTTGTGTCGGTTAGTATTACATTGTTTGTTTTAACAAGTTGTGGATCTCAAAAAAATAGTTGTACAGTATTGAGAATGTACTTTAATCATATTATGTGTTATGGAATGATTACAGTTCGCTTATTTTTAAGCAGTGGAATTTAGTTACGAACACTGGCCAATTTAAAGTTGAAAATATTTTATATTTATGGAGGAGTTTTAGGTCGAAAACAATGAAATATTTACCGTTTACTTATAAGCATGTAGTCATGACGAACACTTGTCTTCTAAGAAGATTTTTTTTAGAAGATAATCAGTATCGGGTGGCTACCCGTTAGAACAGCGAGTGGACCAACCCTTAATTGTGTTTACTCTTACTTTTTCACGTAAACGTTGTCAAACTTCCAGGATTTTGAATTTTAGCATCTTTTGTGGTAATAGTTCACAATAGCACTCTTTAAAATGAGCAACTTCAGGAAAAAATTATATAGAGGAATACCAACTTGGTATTTTTGGTAAATTTTTACTTTAGGACTTGAGTCCCAAGTGGTTGACCAATCTGTTTTTACAGTGTATTAAGGTGTGTTTTAAACGAATATGACCTTAATTTTTGGCAGAAATTTCTCGTCTTTGCCCCCCTGCCCCCCCCCCACCCGAAAAAAAAATGGGGGAGAGCCTGGGAAATCGGGGTTTTTGGGTGGGAGAAAACGAGTCATTTAACCAAAACTAACCCATAGCTGGGGGCTCTGCCCCCGGACCCCTGGTAGGCCTATCTTAAACTATTCTAAATGTTTCAGTTTAAAACTTTGGGACACGTCATGTCCAAAAGTACAATACCTTAGTTAGAAGGACCAGGGATACGTATGAATTGGATAGAATGATCTTCTTTCTCGTAAAACTCGGCAATAAACTTACCTCGGTAAAATAATCATAGGAGCACAAATGATAACCAACCTCAACCACGGCCATTGTGAGACTGGTAAGTAAAATTAAAATCGTACCCAGACTGCTTTCTTTGAAAAAAATCAAATGTGATTGGTAAAAAAAAATTGCATGATGATATCGATACATCATTGGTCACGACTGGATGACGTCGGTCAATATTGCGCATGATTGATGCACCGATAACATCTCGGACGAAGACTGAAAACTACTTAAAATTGATTAAATTCAATTGTGTCTCTATTATCTATTTCCGACTGGTATATATGGGGTTTAAAATGCTCAGAATAGGGAGATCTAAATGTATTAGTATTTTATAACTTTCGGGCGTGCTATGTCCTAAAGTAAAATAATATTGTATTATTTTACAAGTAGACAACCAATGAACCTCTGGGTGAGGATACATTACGTTGTTAGGTTAGGTTAGTTTTGGTGCTTTTTGGTTCTTGAGCAATGTGTTTTTCCGAATGTTAAAATCCATGGTATTCCACGAGTATAAATTTACCGAAAACTTGATTTCTACCTATCTAATTAAAAGAAGTTGGAAGAATTATAATTTTCTTTTGTATTTCTCTGTTTTATTTAATTTTTGAATTTATAGTAAAGCACCGGTCTTTCTCTCGCTGTTATTAATATGTATTTCGTAATGTTTAGATAATTCTGAGACATTTTTCTTCTATGATATTCCGTTGGAAATTAAGGATAACCGTGATATTAATTTTTCAATTATTAGATTTGGTCAGTCACAATTGTTGCCATGTGTTGTTTACTTTTTGCGGAGAAGGTCTGACCCCCCTCACGCAGTGCTCCTTACCTCCGTCTTCGCTTCTTAAGCATCTACAGGCAGTAGGCAGCTATCAAACGGGGAGGAACTACAGCCTGGGAAGATATTGGAAGCATAATGTGTTGTCCAATGGTAGACCCTGCTGCTATATGGCATCACAAAAATTGTGACCAAGTCCCAGGTTGCTGATCTGTCTTTCTGCCTCATTTACACACAATTGCAGGTTTCAATTGTTTCTCTTACTTGACAACACAACATGCATATAGTATTTTTCACTATTGATTTTTATTTATTTTTTATTTCTCTGTAGTTCTTTATTATTATTATTATTATTATTATTATTAGTGTTATTATTATTATTATCATTATTATTTTTTTTATAAATTTTATTACTATGGATAATTATTAAATTTTTGCCCCCTAGACCCTGGTGTGGGTCAGTGCCTGGGTGGGCTAAAACCCCGAAAAAAAAAATGTGCGGGTGTGGTGTGGGAGTTTCATTTGGCCATAGCGATAGGAGACTTATTGGGCAAGAATTTTTTGTCTTAGCCGATGAATAATGTGTGGGTTTGTCGGGAGCGGAGATTTGAATTTTCAGTACCAGATATGGCTGAACAAGTGGAAGAGCTGTGCCGACATTGTGATAGAGATTATTTTACGTCAATTGCCGAGTTTCATCAGAAAAATAGTGAGGAAATTTCTTTTTTTAAGAAAACATGGTGTATTAATAAAACAACTTTATTTGTCCAAAGTGTAATAATCAGTGTACATTGCATGAAGAACAACACATTTGGCGGTGTCACCACAGTTTTCTTCAGCTGAACAGTAAGAAATTCAAGTGGCGCAACCCTGGTTAGGTAAATATTCGTCCAATGGCTGTCCTCAGGTTTTGATACAAAAATATGTTTTTTGGTGGATTATGGTGTGTTTGACTCAAATCTGACCTTCACTTCATGTGCAAAATAGTGTTTTTTTTTTAATTACATTTTTATTTGTAAACGAAACCACTAATTTGCACCAAAATGGCTGTCAGGTTTGAGTAAGCCCAAAAAAAAAACCATACCATACCTAACCTAACCATTTTTTTGGAGCCTACTGTGGTGGAGGATACAGCCGGGCAATCTGGTGCGCTAATGGTTACAGACAAAATAATTTCTGTCTTTTCTTAAAAGTAAATTTCCACACTTAGGACACAGTCTTGATGTTGGCAGGACACCGTGATCTTGTAATATTTGGTTGCTTCAAAATGATTGGCCAGCCAAGTCACATGACATGATATTGAAGGTCATTGGTTGTCATGTCACAAAGAGGAGGAAAGGAGAAAAGTGACTCTGGCAACATGGTGGGCACAGAAATTTGCACCTAGAAATTTATGAGATACAGTATATATTATTTTGAACAATGGCATTAGGTAAGGTTAGGTTAGCACAGAAATCGATTTTGAGAATAAACCTAGGTTTTTCCGATGGGTTTTGGTGTGATTCATTCGAATTTGATGGTAATCTTTCGCCAAACTTCCGACCTAATAACTCTATAGCCAACTCTCCCCCTGATAATGCCAGTCTCTTTGGCATCTTATTCTTCTCTTAACTCCACCTAAGACGATTCCAACTCTATCCCTCCTACTGAACCTATGCACTTTCCTATAATCTCCACTCGTAGGGTTGCTGGTGTGTTATCCAGGTTGGATGTGAATAAGGTGCATGGACCGGATGGAATACCCCCTCGTGTTCTGAGGGAGTGTGCTGAAGTTTTGGCCCCTGTGCTTGCTTGCCTCTTTTGCCTTTGCCTCAAAACCCAAACTTTTCCTTCTTCGAAGTATGCCTCGGTTCAGCCCATCCCGAAGAAGGGTGATCAGTCCAATCCCTCTTAACTATCGCTCCATTGCCCTAACTTCATCCCTCTCTAAGATTTCTGAAACTATCTTAATCTCATTTTCTCCGTCACCTTGAACACCATTCTCTTTTGTTGGATCACCAGTATGGCATTTGCATGGCGAGATCGACTGGTGATCTGCTCTCCTACTGCACTCATCTTTGGTCATTCTCTCTTAGGGATTATGGGGAAACTTTCGTCGTGGCCCTCGACATCTCCCAAGCATTTGACTGGGTATGGCACAAGTCTTTGCTTTCTAAACTTCCCTCTTATGGTTTCTCTCTCCCACTTTGTTCTCCAATCTCCAGCTTCCTTGAGAACCGATCCATGGCAGTTGTTGTTGAGGGATCGATCTCTCGCTCTTTCTCTGCCAATATTGGTGTTCCATACGGTTCTGTTTTTTCACCTACTCTCTTCCTTCATTTTTATCAATGATTTACTTCACACAACAACTAATCTATCCATTCTCATGCTGAAGATTCTACTCTTCACTCTTCTTCACAGTTTCCCATTCCCCCTAGCTCTCAACTAGATCTGTTTCTAGAGCTGATATCATTACAGCTATCAATGCGGATCTGTGCAGCATCTCCGAATGGGGAGGTAGAAACTTGGTTCAATTCAATAGTAATAAAACTCAGTATTTACCAATTACACTATCCAAATTAGATGATCTCCCACCAATCACATTTCAGGACGCCAAATTCTAAAATAGATATGCTAAGCCTCACCATTTCGTCTAATATGTCATGGAAGCCACACATCCTCAACATTGCTAAACCTGCCTCCCGAAAGTTGGGAATGCTTGCAGATGCCATAGCTACTTCACTCCTGAGCAGTTGCTTCAAGTATATAAGGGATTCATTCGTTCTAACTTGGAGTACTGCTCTCATATCTGGGGTGGTTCTTCTTCTCTCCAATTGTTAGATATGGTGCAATCAAAGGCATTTCATCTTATTTACTCTCCTCCTTTAGTTGACAATCTTTCTTCCCTTTCTCTTCGCCGCAATGTTGCTTCACTCTCTCTTTTACAGGTACTTTAACTGGCAATGTTCGATGGATTTGGCATCACGTGTACCGCCGGTAAGGCCGTGTGCTTGTAACACACATCTTGCCCGTGGTGCCCACCTTTACTCTGTGGATGTCGGTCACACTAGAATAACCTGTTATAGTACATCCTTCTTTCCTCACACAGCCAAATTGTGGAATGCACTGCCTTCTGTGTTTCCATTCTCACACAATCTGTCTCACTTTAAAAAGCTGGTTTTCCGGCATCTTTGCGTTGTAGATTAATACTGTATAACCTTTTTCTTTTCTATTTATAATTTCTTTCTATTCATATTTTTTCGCCCCCTAGGCCCCGATATGGCTCGTTGACCTATGCCCGGGTGGGCTAATCCCCGTAAAAAAGAAATGGTTAATGGTTATGTTA